AGAGATTACTTAAAAATATGATAAACCTCAAACTAAACTGATTAAGGGGAAAAAAAAGGCAATAAATTACCAGTATCAGGGTGTAGAGCTTCCTCAAAAAAAATGGGGCACCTGGGTGGCTCAGTTGGCTAAGCGTCTGCCTTCAGCTCAGGTCATGATCCCAGGGTCCTGGAATCTAGCCCCATGTCAGGCTCCCTGCTCCTCGGGGAGCCTGCTTCTCCCTCTCCCTCTGCCTGCCTGCTTGTGCACTCTCCCTCTCTCAAAAAAAAAGGTTAAAAATATTTGCTAATGGGCACCTGGGTGGCTCAGTCGGTTGAGTCTGGCTTCGGCTCGGGTCGTGGTCCTGGGGTCCTGGGATCAAGTCCCAAGTTGGGGGAGCCTGCTTCTCCTTCTGCCCCTCCCCCCTGCTCGTGCTCTCTCTCCCCCTCTCTCAAATAATTAAAAATCTTTGCTAATTTTTTTTGTGATTTCTTCTTTGACTTCTGGGTTATTCCCAAGTATTTGGGGATTTTCCAGATATTTTGTTAATTTATAATTTTATTCTGTTGTGGTCAAAGAACATAACTATTTTTTTTAAGATTTTATTTATTTATTTGAGAGAAAGAAATTGAGGGAGAGATGGAGCAGGGGCAGAGGGAGACGAAGAAGCAGACTCCCTGCTGAGCAGGGAGCCCAGTGTGGGGCTTGATCCCATAACTCCATGATCATGACCTGAGCCGAAGGCACTCAACTGACTGAGCCACCCAGGCGCTCCCACAACTATTTTTTTTTTAAGATTTATTTATTTGAGAGAAAGAGGCAGCGCACAGGGAGAGGCAGAGGGAGAGGTACTGATTTATCTTTCCACCAGCACGGTAAGAGCTCCTCCTTCAGCACGTCCTTGCGGGCATCTACTGACACGTTTTCACATTCTAACACTTCTGCCCACTTGAGTCTATAATAGCCACACTTAATAGTCATGTAAACTGTGCCCAGCCCTGTGCTGCGTGCTGTGTGATTGATCTCATTTCATCCTCACGAGAGCCCTATCAATTAAGAATGTGTGGTCATTTATGGCCAAGAGAGCAAGTCTTCGCCCCTCCCCTGTCCACTTCCCTTCTGTCTGGGCCCGGTAGCCATTCTCAGCTTTCTTCTCCCAACTTGGGTTGGGATGGGTCCCAGTAGGGCCTCAGTCCTGCCCGGAACGCTTTCCTCCTCAGGTTGTTACTCCCTGTCAGTCCGCCTTAGCCGCCCTGCATCGTGGGACCGGATCAGACACTACAGGATCCAGTGCCTTGATAATGGCTGGCTGTACATCTCACCACGCCTCACCTTCCCTTCACTCCAGGCCCTCGTGGATCACTATTCTGGTATGGCCTTCCCATTAGACTGGGATGTGGGGTGCAGGGGGCAGACAGTTGTGCCCTTAGACACTTTACCTGCTGGAGAATATCCAGACAGGCAGAAGAGGGACCTCTCCATCTCCATGCCAGTTCCTGTGCTAAGAACATAGGCTGGGGAGCTCTGTCTTCATCCCATGCCCTGACAGAGCCACATAGACCTCCCATGTGGTTCTGAGTCCAAGACCTCAATGGCAGGCACAGTTCTCTCTACAGGAACTAGGCCCAGAGCTGTTGCTGTTGTGCGATTCAGTTGACTCAGCATTTCCGGGTGCCTGTCCTGTTATAGGGACTGGAGCATGCAGCCAGGAGGGCAGTGTCAAAGGGGCAGAAAGGAAAGACCACTCCTGGTAAAACTGATCAGGTGTTTCCTAAAGGGTGGGTCCATGCAGTCGATACTGACAGAACACGTAGAGATGAAGTATTTTCTAGCTTTCTTCTTCCTAAAGCACTTTCCTAACCAGAAACTGGCACTCAAAGAGGTCCATCAAACTACCCAAAACCACAGCAAATTAAATCTTCAAAACCTAGCCTAGAATGACCTGATTGCATCTCAGCCCCTAGATCACAGCTTGAGGCTTGTGCCCTGTCACTTTTTTAAAAATGTAATCTATACACCCAAAGTGGAGCCTGAACTCATGACCCTGAGATCATGAGTCTCTACCGACTGAGCCAGCCAGGTGCCCCCGTCATTCTTTTTTGACCATGCCTCCACCTGCCAAATGGGGAAAGCTGTCAGGGTGAGGGTGGGGGTTGTTAGGGAGGGTAAAGTAGGGCTGGAGTCAGCCATGTCAAGGGTCTAGGTCTCTTTCTCAGAGTTGGCGGATGACATCTGCTGCCTCCTCAAGGAACCCTGTGCCCTGCGGAGGGCTGGCCCGCTCCCTGGCAAGTCCCTACCCCTACCTGTGACTGTGCAGAGGGCACCACTCAATTGGAAAGAGCTGGACAGGTAAGGGGACCCCTGGAACATGAAGGCAGAACAAAGGAGAAAGAAGGACCCACCCCTGGGAACCCACAACCTCAAATGAGCCTGTCACCTTTGGGGACACTGGCGAGCCAGGCTCAGCAGGACTGTAGGGGGACTGGCAGGAAGGAGGAAGACGGAGTGGATAGAGGGCATGCCCAGATGCCAAAGATGGCCAGGATGGAAGGTCAGACAAGATGGGGTAGAACAGAAAGCACCAGTCCTGAATGGAGAAGTCAAGCTGGGGTTTTATCTGACAGAGAATGGGGAGCCACTGAGAGTTTTCAGGTGGTGTGAACTTGAACTGTGGTGAGAGCAGGCAGGAGGATGAGGCTCCTTGACCCAACTCTCTTCCCCTCTCCATAGCTCCCTCCTGTTCTCTGAAGCACCTGCCTTAGGGGAGTCCCCTCTCCTCAGCGAGGGGCTCCGGGAGGCCATCAGCTCCTACATCAGCCTGAGTGATGACAGCTCCTTGGATGATGCCATGGCCCAAAGCAGAGGCCAAAAGGGAATCCAACGCTGCAGCACCTAGACCCCCAGCTCAGCTCAGCCTAAGCACTCCAGAGGCAAATTCAGGGTCCCACTTGTATCCTCTGCTCCTTCCTGTCTCAGCCCCAAGAAGTCACTTAACCCTCTCCCAATGCCATGAACCCACCTGCAACCTCTAGTTCAAGTACAGACCAGCTGAAAACAGGGACAGGGCTCCAAAGAGACTAGGCCTCTGGGGTTTGACACAATTTGACCTGAGTTTGGGATTTCCAGAACCATCTTCCTCCCCTGCCTATTGAGTCCCCTTCTACACCCCCACAGTTCCACCCACTAGGTAGAAACCACCACTAGCATCAAGAAGGAAAAAAAAAAAACATTTAAAGAGAATCTACAAGTCTCACTCAGAAAACCATACTTCAGAAGGTAGGACTGTGGCCTAGAAGACAGGAAAGCAGAGGGATGGATGTCTTCCCACAGCAACAGAACCGGAATGTCCAGCCTCCACCTGGCCCCCCAGAGCAAAGGGGACCTCTGACAGTCCAGGTCTCAAACAGCCCCATCAAACCTTTTCTCTGGACAGTCCTAGCTCCAAGATCTCTATTTCATTTTGTGGCTTATCATTTGAATCTGCTAAGCTTTCCTGGCTACAGTGGCCTTGCTATCTTGTGGCCAAACACAAAATGGCACCTTCTGGGTCTAGCACACTGCGGTGGTCAGTCACGTCTCTCAGTACCGGGCAGGGGCATCAGAAGTCAGTAAGGCCACAGCCTACACCAACTCTAGCCCTTGATTTCCCTGCTGCCCATTAAGGAAGACAGGCCTGGCTGGAGCTACTACAGGAGCAGGGAGAGGAGGAAGAGGGATGAGGATGGAGGGTAGGGTTCTGAGGCTAGAGGTGATGTGGGAAAGGCTTTCATAGGTATCATCAACAGGTTCTCAATTAAAGATTTGATTTATTCAAGTACCCGAAAACGTTCTACAAGGAAAACTTATTAGATGCTGCTTGTACTGTGCTATGGACCACGCACATACCGCCACTCTGTTTTCAGAAGACTTGAAATGCCACTGATAGTTTAAAAACTGTACACCTGATGGAGAAGTGAGGAAGACAATTTAATGTTTCATCCGGATCCAGAGGTGCATCAAATTAAATGACAGCTCCGATCAGCAAACAGGTGTTTCATGATGATATCCAAGAAGGAATGGTTGGTGATGGACAATTCAGAAATGCTTCCCCAAAAGGCGGATGGTTCTTTAAAAAGTTTCAGATCACAACCCTTGCAGAAAACACTGATGCCCAACACAATGATTCTTGGTCCAGGAAACATGGGTCTTCCAGGTTCCACGTGGCTGGGGTGCCCCTACAATCATGTTTCTGTGCTGTAACTACGAGGGTCCTTTGGACCAGACAGAGAGTAGGTGGGGTCTGTACACCATCAGTCATAGTGGATGGCAGTGTAAAAAATGATCCAAATGACCTAGAGAGGAGATAAGCAATGGTCGTAGGTCACCTGGGTCAACACAGGCACCTATTCCACAGAACAAAAATGTCAAAGAATGTGTGCACAGTGGGCTTCCCAGGGGTTATTCAATGCAATCAGCCGGGAGGCCTAAATAAGTTCACTGAAATGAAGCTGTCTCTGACAGAGCCCAGGATCACCCACAGTGCTACCAAAGAGACCATGGACAAGCTTCCCTCTCAACCAAAAAGCAACTGGAGCACCAGGGAGTGGAGTTATAGATGTGGAAATGATACGGGTAAAGGGTTAGGATTAGCAACAAATGTGAAAAACAAACCACCACCATACCCTGTCAGCTTCATATCAAATAAAGCAGAGGTTCTCAAAACTGGTTATTCACTGCAATCTCCTGGGACCTTTAATACATATGTATGCCCAGGCACCCCCGCCCAGGGATTCTGATTTTACTGATTTGGGCCAGAGTCTACAATTTTTTTAAAAAATTAATTTTGAGATATGATTCATATTTCATAAAGTTCACCTTTTAAAGTATTTAATAGAAAAAAATATATATATATACAATACAGAGGTTTTTAGTATATTCACAGAGTTGTGCAAAGATCACACTGATTCTGGAACATTTTCATCATCCTCAGTTTCTTCCCATTTCTCTGTCTGTCTCCCCCCTCCCCCCGGTCACTGGCAACCACTCATCTACTTTTTTATCTGTGTGGATTTGCCTATTCTGGACATTTTACATAAATGGAATCACGTAACATGTTTTGTGTCTGGCTTCTTTCACTCAGGATAACGTTTTCAAAATTCATCAAAGTTGTAGCCCCTACCAGTACTTTATTCCTTTTTATGGTCGAATACCATATGGATATACAACATTTTATTTATCTACTGACCAGGTGATGGTTGTTTGCGCTTTTCCAGCTATTATGAATGCCATAAACGTACTTGTAAATGTTTCCTAGTTTCTATTATGCAACCACATTTGAGAATCAGATGTAGAAGCTGATGACAGGCCCTGGGTGTGTAGACCAACAGGGAGACTACAGTGTACCACACCACATCTTTTGTGACAACTGGACTGATGGAGGAAATGCCCTCCAATCCCTGGAGCCTTTTGGAAAATGGTACACCCCAATCACAAAGTGTAACCCAATCAGTGTGCTCCCCTTGAGAAACAACAGGATTTACTATATAACTATCAGCTATACATACCATGAACAAGGCAAAAGATGTCATAAACCCTTCTTTTGTGAGCTCCCATGTGCCACCATATTCTTCCTCATCTATCTGTAGGTAGTTGCTGAAGTAGAGATACAGGACTCCTGCATTGATCAGGCAGAATCTGGAGGGAGGACAAGCACCAAACACAAACTATGAGCTCAGAAGACTTAGAACTCCACTATCACAGTCCAGCCCTACCAGGATACTCACTGTTGCATAGTTAAGTATTTGTATTATGGGGGCAAGTGAAAAATAATACATGGACCTAGACCCTCAATGGAACTGCCCAGTGGTTGAGCTAGAGGCATAAAAAGCAACTTTTATTTAGATGCCCAGCAAAAATTTTTTAAAAAAATTTAAAAGCACACAAAAGTTCTCCAAGCTCTCTCAGAGTAAGAGAGAATAGTAGCCAAACCATCCCAAACCAGGACTAGTACCTGACATGGGCCTCCAAGTAGCTCCAGCTGGGGTGGGGTGGCCATGGGACAAATACATGTCAGGCTGCTGCTTCATGGCCTAGTGGAACAAGCAAGCGTACTAAAGCAGCTCCTGCATTCATTCCCAATGGGAGACAATTTCCAGATATCCACTGTCTGCTACTGCACTTGATGCAGAGGTGAACACTGACAGTTCCTGCTCTACCTCAGCTATCTATTAGGAGGCCAAAAACAGCCGTGAACATGGAACTGAAACCACAGGTTCGTGAGCACCTCCAGGAAGGTCTTTGATCCCCCATATTGTATTATTTAACTAATGAAGCATTTAGAATGCAGTGAAGTGTAATGTTATCACCCTGATCTACTTATCTCTTGGTACAGTCATCATGTAGAAATTTTTGTAAAGTGATCAACACTTTATGATCTTCCAAGTTACAGCATCTAATTTAATGGGGGACTATATGTTTTAGGCCATACTGCTCCTGAAGGCTGGGGTGGGGAAAATGCAAAGAACTAGTTCCTCGTAATGGATGAAGTGTAGGCTGGTGTGGGGCAGGGCAGTATGATGATGCTGAGGAGTGTCCATCAGTATAAGGGGTAGGGGGCAGACCCTGGGGCTGTTTGAGCATGAGACAGAGTATACATACATCAGAAGTCTAGTTTTTTTGTTTTTTGTTTTAAAGATTTTATTTTTAAGTAATCTCTATACACAACCAGGGGCTCAAACCCATAACCCTGAGATCAAGAGTGGCATGCTCTACTGGCTGAGCCAGCTAGGCATCCCAGTCTAGTTTGTGAGGAAAGTATAGGCTTTCTCATGAGTTGGGGGAATAGGAGCTGGGAGACTGGTTTAGACTTGTACCATGTTTTATAACACGAGCAGAAATAAAGCTTGAGGACAGGGACTGGGAAAATGGCTGAATGGGGAGGTAAGAGACTCAAAGTCTTCAAGCCTAAGGGTCTGGGAGTATAATGGTTCCAGTAACAGGCAGGGAGCCAGGAAGAGCAGGTTTTTCTTGGATTTCACACAAAATACAGTCCTTGGCTTGGTCATGTTGTAGCCACATCCTTATCTTCTGCCAGAAATCTTGGGACCTAGCCAATCTGGCTGCCTCTCTCTGTCAGGAGTTTCATTTTGTTTTGTTTTTGAAAGACTGATTTATGTATTTTAGAGAGAGCACGCATGCGTGAGCGGGAGGAAGGGCAGAAGAGGGAGACAGAATCCTCAAGCAGACTGCCCGCTGAGCACAGAGCCCAATGCGGGGCTTAATCCAAGGACCCTGAGATCATGACCTGAGCTGAAATCCAGAGCCGGGCGCTCAACCAACTGGGCCACCCAGGTGCCCCATGGAGATTCATTTTGGACAGGCTGTTAGTGGTTCCAGACAGAGATTACTAGCAGGACTCAGAAATGTTACTCTGGGATTCAGCTAATAAGCTAGGGCTGGAGAATGGCTGAGACTCATTGTGAGTCTCTGGCTATGAAAGTGGTTGCTTAGTGATATGATATAGGGAAATGTGAGGAAATAAGGGATGACAGAGAGAAAAGAGCTAACTGGGCCCCTGCCTTCCAAGGGTCACACACTAAGTAGCAAGTGAAGTCACAGAAACAAAGGCCTTTAAACGTCTGGTGGTCAAGGGGGAGGGCTCAGGAAAGGACTGGAGGGGCTCAAACTGAGCTTTAAAGATGGGTATACATCCAGGGGCGCCTGGGTGGCTCAGTTGTTAAGCATCTGCCTTCAGCTCAGGTCATGATCCCAGGGTCCTGGGATCGAGCCCCGCATCGGGCTCCGTGCACCGCAGGAAGCCTGCTTCTCCCTCTGCCACTCCCCCTCCTTGTGCTCCCTCTCTCGCCGTCCATCAAATAAATAAATAAAATCTTCAAAAAAAAAAAAAACGGGCATAAATCCTGTATTGTAAACGGGGGAGAGAATTACACAGATATATAGACAAAGAAATGAACGTGGCTTGGGGCTGGGGGAAAAAACCTTACAAAGACTCTCCAATGCACTTTTTAAAACTCTATCCTAAAAATTCAGAATTTTAACAAAATAATGAACCTCTAACAAATACTCTGATTTCAGGGCTGGGAGGCTACATGACAACAGTAAGGTATGACCCTGCTTTCAAGGATCGATGGGAATTCATTTCAGGTTTTAAAAAATTTTAACAAGCATTCACTGAACACCTATCAATCATTATGCCAGGCTCTATGAGAGACAGAGAGGCAAGAAGGGATGACGCAAAACCTCTGCAGAGCAGAACCACCACTCAGTTCTCAGGCAAACTATAAATAATGAGAACGGAGAAAATGGTTTTATCTGAATATGCCCTCACTGTCGCCACACCAGAAATGAAGAGAAGCCAAGGTGGAGCCCAGACAGAGGGTAGTTAAGGCACAAAGTGGAGAGAAGAGGGTCACCAGAATGGAGCACCAGAGCAGTCCTGCCCTAAGCCCAGGCAACTGGGTCAGGCAGATGGAAGAGAGGGAGTGTGTGGAAAAATCAATGTCCTTGGGCCCTTTCCAAGAGCAAGGGAAAAGGTGCCAACCAAAGGAGGAAGGGATTTGTTTGGAGTGAGAGAAACTGGCTCTGGCAGGACAGCATGGGACCAAACCCCAGGAAACAGGCAGTCCTGAGAACGCAGCACTATGGGTGAGCCACTCCAAAGTGAATTTACTCCCAAATACCTCCTTTCCTGTTTTCTCAATAGCCATTTTTAGCACTCTTTGTAAAGCTAATCATATGACTGCAGTGAACCATTTATGGAGTGCAATATGATGTACTAAGCACTACATTTAGGAATTTATTTGCATTATTTAGTTCACACATCCATCTTATGAGGAGGGCACTTTTAGTCCCCCCTTTTAATGATGAGACAATGGAAGCTTGAGAGATGAGCCCAAAATTATGTAGCTTGAAGGTGGCAGAGCTGGAACTTGAATCCAGAGCTTTTTACAGTTACAAGAAAAAAAGAAAAAAGAGATCTCTAAGCAGCTTAACTCATCTGCCACAGTGGGAAGGATACTAAACTAACTCTGGTCTTTGTTATATTATTCCTAGATTGGGTGACTTCAGAGAACTCTCTTAGGAATCCTGCAAGATGAGATGGGGGCAAGGGGTCTGAACCAGCGTTCTTCTCTCCTAGAAAAGTGGCCTTGGGAAGATGAGAGACTCCCTCTTGTCTTTAGACTGCCTTCCCCCTTTCTCTGACCTTTCCTCTTATCTGCCTTTTCTTTCACAGAAAGCTCAAATGGGATGACCAACATTCTGAAGAGTATCTATACACTTCCTCCAACTAGGGAAGACCTATGAACCCCAGGTCCTGTGTCTCCTCACCATCACTCAGAACTCATCACATGTCCACTCCAGCAAGGTTAGGCAGAGCGTAACATAACTCCTTTCCTTAGACAAATGTTTTGCTCAGTATCATAAATCAAAAACTTTTTAGTTAGAAGAGGAGACTGTACATTCCTTTTGGGTTATCTTCTGAGAAAATAAGGAACTCAAATGAATTTGAAATCTATTTCACCCTTTTCACCCTAGAGTGAGGGAATAAGAGATGTGATCACCCCTAAAACAACCAATGTGATGTTCCATGGTTAAGGATCACAGTTCCTGTGTGGGAAGAAAAAAAAAAAAACTCACAAGCTTGCCTGTCCATTTCCCACTGTAGCTTACCCACAATTCCTATCTTGAGATAACTCCTACACATCCTTTTTTTTTTTAAAGATTTTATTTATTTGACGAGAGAGACAGTGAGAGAGGGAACACAAGCAGGGGGAGTGGGAGAGGGAGAAGCCGGCTTCCTGTGGCGCAGGGAGCCCGATGTAGGGCTCGATCCCAGGACCCCGGGATCATGACCTGAGCCTAAGGCAGATGCTTAACGACTGAGCCAGCCAGGTGGCCCTCCTACACATCCTTTTAATTCAGTCTGGTAGGCATGTGGACTCATCACTTTCAGTTGCTTGTTAACAAGCTGAGCCAAGACCAGGGGTAAGTGTCAGCTCTGCTGCCACTGGCCATGGAAACACAGTAAAAAGTGGAGGGCCCAACCTTCTACTTTCTCATTGCTTTTAAAAAGTAGGGATCTGGGGGCGCCTGGGTGGCTCAGTCGTTAAGCATCTGCCTTCGGCTCAGGTCATGGTCCTGGGGTCCTGGGATCGAGCCCCGCATCGGGCTCCCTGCTCAGCAGGAAGCCTGCTTCTCCCTCTCCCACTCCCCCTGCTTGTGTTCCCTCTCTCACTGTATCTCTGTCAAAAAAAAAAAAAAAACTTTAAAAAGTAGGGATCTGAAATAACTTCTGTCAAAGCCAAGATCCAAGACATCTAGCACAGTGCCAGTCATAGGGAGTGGTCACCAAGTACAGAAGTTCCTCTACTTTCCAAATTTCCACTGGTACAAAGGTCATGCCAGAACTAGATGCCTGCCACCAACAGGCAATGCAGTAGCCTCTTGCATGAGATCCCTTTGGACCCATGAATGAATAGACTGGCCCAGTCCAGTGTCTGGAAATATAACATGTCTAAGCTAAGATGCTCCCAGGCCTGCTGAACTGAGGAGTGCTGCACCAGACCCAGGAGTGCCATCATGGGGCTACTTTTTTGCCTTTGTAACTTCTCTCACACATACACACATAGTCATCTTTAAAAAAAAAAAAAACCCTACATATAGAGAGAGATATATAACATACATACATATATACTTATTTTATCTATATATATCCTCCAACTTAGCAATGGCCTTTTCCATAAAAAGGAAACAAAATCTCTATTTGAAATGATATCATGAAAATGGAACATACCCAAGACTTACCCTGCTATTCCCAAGAAACCCCGCAATGGTAAGACTCCCCAAATGACACCTAGGACCACAGCAATGATCTGTCGGAACCAGTAGATCACATCTAAAAATTCATCCTGTAGAAAGAAAGAGAATGCATGCATTATCTGCAGTGGGTGCCACATGCGAGCCTCTGTAATAGGTGAGGAATAAAAAAGCTTTCTGCCATAAACACATCTTCCAGAGAAATTTCTCCAAGAGCAATAGTATGTAGTTTTCTTATCTCCACCTCTTATACTAAAACATGCTTTAAAAACAAAAAACGATATACTTAGTTCTCTTAAGTGATGACTTCCGGGCCTGTGTGCTAAGTAAAAATTTTAGAAAAATTATTTACTTTTTTTAGAAGCTTCAAAAATGAAATGGCTTGTGTGAAATGGCTGTGATAGTAACTGTGCTACTGGCCACAGAACACTCTTGTCCGACCCTCAGAGGAGAGATCTAGACAGACTATCCATAGGCAGAAGGGCTATTAACCTACTCAGCACCATCTTCCTGCACCCTGAATTTGGAATAAGTCACAAAGAAGAAAGGAATTAGAAACAGAAGTGCTGAAGGCTGGTCCCAGCATATCTGATTTTCATACAAGGACATTGAAGACTCAGGTTTCTGACCTGCCCCAGATTGCAGAAACCAGTCCTTGTACAAGAACGAAAGAAAGAAATGACACAGCAGATCAGAAAGGTTTTACAAGAACTGGGCAGGGCTGGGGGCAGGACAAGGGCACCTTCAGGAAGTACCTCCCATTCCCCCCACCCCCCCTTAAAGGAACTCCAGGAAGGAGAACCCACTTCATCAGTCCAGAAAAACAAGGGAAAAACTGCAAATAATAACATTCTTTTCAGGCCAACTGGAATCAAGCTGTGTTGGTCCCTTCCAGATCATGAAGCAGCGTTGGGGAGTGCCTACACCCAGATCTTCTGAAATTGTGTGACCAGTGAAAACATCTTGAAGCCCCAACCGTTTCTCACAAACATTTGGTGGTTTCCCCCTCTCTCCCTCCCTCTCTCACACACCTCTGAGAGGTGGTCTCAGTCTCCCCTCTCTCGCAATTATTAAGGCATTTGGTATTTCTCATCCAATAAAAAAGCAATGGCAGCTCACCTTTAGTGAGCCTCATCACGTGCTCAACGCTTTCCTGCACCACGGTACCCCACTTCAGAGCTGTTCTGAGAACTGAGTGAGATAATGCGTGGAGAGAGCACCCGGCAGAGTCTTCACTGGAAGACTGTTACCGTTACTGTTCGTGCTAACGACCGTATTAAGCAGTTAATTCGGAAAAGATAAGTCACTTACTGAAGATCCTACTGGCAGTAAAAGGCGGAGGTCGAATTCAGCTCACTCTCGCCGTTCAGGCACACGCCCTGCCCGCGGGTGGCAACTCCTGTGCCCCCTCCTCGCTGCTTCCCGCGTGACCCAGGCGGCTTCACGCTTAGGCCACTCCGCGGTGAGCCCCGAGCCCGGCTGTCAGGCCCGCCGGGCCCGCCAAGTTCGCCCCGACACCTTTGTGCCACCCACACCCCACCCACCTCCCCACGCCAAACACTCGGCCGCGCCCAGAGCGGGCAGGGGCAGGCTCGGGCCTGTCCATTCGTCCCCGAGTCCCAGCCGGCTCCTCGAACCTGCGCCCTCGCCAGGTCCCACCGCACCTTGTCCTCCCAGGCCGCGTCGCTCCGCAGCACCTTGCTCCAGACAGAGACTTTAAGGGCCCCGTTGGCCAGCTGCGGCTGAGGCGGCTCCTCCTTTCGCCGCCCGCCGCTCATCCTCCCGTCGCGCCGCCCGGGCCGGGCCAGGGGCGCGCGGGCCAGGCCAAAAGGTGTCGGGCTCTGGGGTCGCGCGTCACGGCGCGCAGGGCGGCGGCGGCGACAGCGACAGAATCAGTGGTCAGGTTCGGTAGCGCGCTGCGGCTGCCTTCACTCTGCCAAAACGCCGGCTCGGCTCGCTCAATCGAGACCTGGCGCTGCGGAGGGAGGAGCAATGCAGCGCAGCGCGTCCTCCCGCCGGCGAACCCACGCAGCCAATCCACAGCCGTGCAGCCGTCCGAGAGAAAGCGCAGCCGTCCCCTCGGCGCAAGCGCTCTACGCGTGACGGAAGTGACGGCAAGCTTCCGCCAGGCGCACGGTAGGGTGAGTGGGAAGGGACAATCTAGGTGGGGATGGTGACGCGAGCACGAGGAGGCGCTGTGGAGACTGGAGAACGGCGTCAGAGAGCCGAGGTTAGACTTGAGCGTCGCCCAGCCCTCCACGGTTTGTCCCCTATAGCAGTGGGGTAGAACGCGGCCCTGTTTTTCCGCGTCTTTCGGAGCCCAAAACTGGCTCCCCGGAAGTCCCCAGCGGCCCCCTCAGGATTTAGCCCTTGCTCATTTTCTCCCCTAACCCCTGCAAGTTCCGTAGGACCCTGTTCAGGATGTAAACTGTTTTCTGTATTAATTTAGTGTCTCATCTTGGCCCAGTATCCTCTTTTGGCAAATGTGAGACCTGAGATCCAAAGAGGGAAAAGATTTTCTAAGGCCATATGGCAAGTTGGAACCAGTTGAGAACTCCTGAGGCAGGGTTTGGGGTGGGGGGAGTGCAGAAAGTACTTTATTAGCTGTCAGAATATCTGAGTATTCATCTACTGTGTCCTCACTGTGTGCTAGGACATTGGTTCACAACGTATGTGTCTGGACCACCAGCAGCCACATCACCTAGGAACTTGATTAGAGATGCAGATTCTCGGACCCCATCCCAGAACTGCCAAATCAGAAATTGTGGGAGTGCAGCCCATAATCAGCATTTTAGTAAGCCCTCCAGGTGGTGCCTTGTGCATTGTACTATGAAATAAGTTGAGACCAAAGCCCTTCTGTGTGGTGGGTTTATAGAGGCTGACTTGTCTGGAATCATTCAGCTAGTACCTGGGTCGGTCTGACTTCAAAATCTTTACTCTTAACCTTAAGTTTTTAGTCTTTTTTTTTTTTTTTTTGAAAGAATGAGTGTGAGAGAGAGAGCATGAGCAGGGGGAGGGGGAGAAGCAGACTCTCTTGCTGAGCAGGGAGCTTGATGCAGGGCTCCATCCCAGGACCTCGGGATCATGACCTGAGCCAAAGGCAGTTGCCCAACCAACTGAGCCACCAGGTGCCCCTAAGCTTTTAGTCTTAAAGAATACTAGTGAGGTCAGAATATCAATGAAGTCAGAACATCCTTTGTATACCTGTCAACATTGACCTGTATTTCTCCCCCTAGGCAAACAACAGAATCTCCTAGGGAGCTTTTTCAGAATTCCATAGTTGGTGTTTTCAATCACAACTCAATTCCAAGATCCTCTTTCAATAGGTTGAGTGAAGCTGGACCCCAAAAGATGACATATACAACAAGAGACATTACTCTGTCTGGACCTGGTGGGAGAGACATATACCTGACATGGGTCCACATCTTTTAGTCCTCCAACTTTCACATGGATCTTGTTCTTTTTCAGCCCTGCCTTTTTTCTGAACCTTGTTCCCTCCCATATGCAAAACTGTGGTTAAAGCCTAACCAACTGACTCCAGTTTGGAAGTGTACCATTGGTATAAAACCTCTTTTACGTTTGGGGCCTCTGGGTGGCTCAGATGGTTGGGTGTCTGCCTTCGGCTCAGGTCATGATCCCAGGGTCCTGGGATCGAGCCCCGCATGGGCTCCCTGCTCAGTGGGGAGCCTGCTTCTCCCTCTCCCTCTGCCTGCCGCTCCCCCTGCTTGTGCTCTCTCTCTGTCAAATAAATAAATCTTTAAAAAAAAAAAACAAAAACCTCTTTTACAGATTCCCTGGGGGCATGCAGTGCTGGAGACAAACTGTCATTCATTCTGTCATAGATTGTTGGAAGAATACCTCACCCAAGGTCCAAGACAGAAAAGGTAAGTTTTCAGTCTGCTGGACCTGGTGGTAAAGGTTTGTAATGGGGAGTTTGATCTGGAGGGTTAGGAAAGATGGAGCTCTGAAGGAAGAGTAGGAGTTAAGGGGAAGAGGGAGAGGAAGAGAAGAGAGCATTCCAGGAGTTGAAACCCTGTCAGCCACTGGTAGGGAATAAAGCCACAAGTTTGGAAGGAGTGGGAGGGGCATGCTGAAGAATTTGTTTTTGTTTTTTCTAGTTTTATTGAAATATAATTGACATACATCACTGTATAAGTTTAAGGCCTACCTCTTGATGGTTTGATTTACATATATTGTGAAATGATCACCACAATAGATACAGCTAATTCTGTCTTCTCATATAGATGCAATGAAAAGAAGAAAAAAAAATTTTCTTTGTGATGAGAACACTTAGGATTTATTTTTTTAACAGTTTTCCAATGTATCAGTACAGCATTGTTAGCTATTGTCCTCATGTTGTAACTTACATCCTTACCATTTATTTATCTCAACTGGAAGTTTGTATCTTTTAACTACCTTCCTCCATCTCCCCCTCTCCCATCACCCACCTCTGGTAACCATAAGTCTAATCTCTTTTTCTGAGTCTGTTTTTTAAGATTGCCCGTGTGAGTGAGATTATAAAGTATTTGTCTTTCTCCCACGGACTTATTTTACTCAGCATAAACCTCCAGGGTCCATACATGTTGTCACAAATGGTAGGATTTCCTCATTTTTTGTGGCTGAATAATATTCCATGGTGTATATACCACAACTTCTTTATCCATTCATTCATTGGTGGACATTTAGGTTGTTTCCATGCCTTGGTTATTGTAAATAATGCTGCTATGAACATGGGG